AAGGAACACAGAACTGAACTGCAGACTATCTACACAAAAGATTTGTTTAAAGTGGTGAAGGCTTGTGTAAATCCAGCCACACTTGTTGGAAGTTGCTGATAACAAGGAGTTGGTGCAAATATTTGCCACGAACACAATGAACAACACCCCTCAGGTTTTATTCTCACGGAGTTATACCTCTCCGGTACTAGCAGTGCACAGAAGAATATATATATATATATATATATATATATATATATATATATATATATATATATATACGAGGTCTGAACAAAAAGTATCAGAACTGGTGTTATAAAAAGAAAACTACAAAACATATCAATTCGCCATTTAATCTCCTTCGAAGTAGTCCCCTTCTGAAGCCACACATTTTATCCAGTGCTGTTTCCATTGATAGGAGCATTCCTGGAATTTTTTTCTAAGATAGCGGGTAGCTGCCTTGTCGCATTCTCTTGGATTGCCTCGATGTCTTGAAATCTTGTTCCTTTCAAGTTAGATTTGACTTTTGAAGAGGAAAAAAAGTCGCAAGTGGCAAGATATTCGGATTATGGTGGTTTTTGGTCCAAGAGAAAGTTGTGTCTGGACAAAAACTCCTGCATAAGCCATGGTCACCGATGGAACCTCAGCGGTGTGGTGAGACGACTACAAACTACACACTTTCCTTCCAAACACTGGTATAAAGAACGGAAGTGAACGAAAGCGTTATAAATGAGTGTATGCGCGACAGAGTTCAAGGTCAATTTGTGTCAAACGGCTTCACCCTGCGTACTTTAGCTCCGTTACCATAACAGCAGTACAAATACTTTTATCAAACTTATATATATATATATATATATATATATATATATATATATATATATATATATATGATTTTATTTATTGTAGGATATTAAACAAAACATGTTAAAAATCGCTGCCTCAATTGCAATTATGTTTTAACACTACAAATGTGTCTCCTCGGGTGATGGTAAATTAGTGAACGATTATTTTAATTTCAAAAGCAGAATACTTCTTTTTTCTTAAAGGTGCCTTTTAATTATCAACTACAAAATTTTATGTATTTAGCTGACCGAGCATATAACTAGTTAGCATTATGCTAAATTACCTCCCCGCCTCTTTCGCTTTTACTTCTTAGGAAAGTTGAACGCCAGACTTCTATACATTTAACGAAATAATGTAACCACTTGTATCTGTCCATAATGAAATTGTCTAGGATTTATATGCAGACAACTTCGTGTGATGACCTATATAATAATTTTTTTTCGGTGGGTTTGAATTTAGCGTAGGTCACATTCGATTGGTTAATCACGGTAAAGCACACAAGCCTTTTTTTTTCTTGAGAAAAAAAAGTATTCTGCTTTTGAAATTAAAAGAATTGTTCACTCGCGAGTAGTTTAGCATCGCCTGAGGAGACACATTTATAGTGTTAAAACATGATTGAAATTGTGTAGCGATTTTAACATGTTTTTGTCTTAATATCCTAAAATAAATAATATTTATCACTACTCTGTATTGAGCCCTCTTTTAAACTAAATATTACGGACAGTGGAATTATACTCCACTTGTTCTCATTTTACACACACACACATAATATATATATATATATATATATATATATATATATATATATATAATTGATGTGCGCATTAGAATGCTTTCCGACCACGATACCCGGGTTCGATCTCAATCTGGTCTATTTGTCGGGAAGGTGACTTATTGATGTTATCTATATTAGGATGCGATCTCATTGTGTGCCACTTTTTGAAAGTGTCTGCAAACCATACCACGGGTTGATACAAACCTTGTGAGTGAAATTGAACTATTTGGGAGCCATCGATGGTTGCGCTGGCACGAAGTCACAAGGGTTTGAACGTACTGACCTGGTTCAGTGTTGGTCAGGCCAGATATGGCACTCTCCCAGAAACTGTAACTAATGTCCGCTCAGCGTAGCTACAGTATGAACTAACCGAGCTCTCAGTGAGGGTTTGAACAAACAAAAATGTGCCTGAGTAAGCGTCAACAATAGGGATTGGATAGCCGCCCTAGTAGACACACATACTCAGATACGAGCGGACAGACATTATATGATAGGATAAGGAACAAATATGAAACGTTTATAAATCTAACATGTTTCGATTTTATTAAAGCTTCATCAGAGAATGCAATGTGGAGGAGATATACACAAACACATAAATATGCATTAATTCCGCACAGACAAACTAGAATTAGGATACACAGACACACATAAATGATACACGAACGCTTCAGGACAAGGCTGATGCACGTGCGAAACCAATGAAAAACAAAACAATATTATATATATATAAATAAATATATATATATATATATATATATATATATATATATATATGGTGTATCAAAATACTTTTACAGACGTTGGGGGCGGGTTCCTCACACGAAAACAAGGACAAAAGTCCATATACTGTCCGCAAATTCTTCAAATGTTTCCGACAGATGGCGCTATGTTGCCATATAGACTAGCTTACATTTGTTATTCGTGTACATTTGTAGCTAGTCTGTCTTCAACGATTAACTAGTGTAGAAGTGAGTTAACTGAGAAGTGTTCCGTTCAGCAATGCTTTGCTGCTGTTTATCGTCACGTTGCTGAGACAGGATCCGTAGCACCACAAACTATGGCTAGAGAAAGACCGAGATCTGCTCATACGCCTGACCACGAAGAACACATTCTACAGCAGGCGGAGACGATTCAGGTATCTGCACACGTCAAGTGGCCCTAGCATGTCGTACATCTAAGAGTACCGCATGGAAGGTACTTCAAGAGCAGCTACTGTATCCGTATCATTTGCAACTTGTGCAGGGTCTTTCGCACTCTGATCAGTCACCATGGGAGAACTTTTGCCGATGGTTTATTGCACAAACGACCGATCCGTTGTTTGTCTCTTCAGTCTTGTTTACGGGTGAGGTAACATTTGGAAGAGATGAAATAACAAATTTACACAATCAAAATTTGTGGGCGGATCGGTATGGTACAATACTAGCTAGACACCAGCTTAAGTTTATGATTAATGCGTGGGCTGGGATTCTAGGTGACTGTCTGGTCCATATGTTCTCCCAGCACGTCTTACAGGAGCTGTCTATAGGAACTTTATTTCGAATATACTTCCAGACTTGCTAGAGGATGTACTCCTGCTAATACAAAGATGCATGTCGTTCATGCATGATGAGGCTCTAGCACGTTTTAGTCACATTGTTCGTGATGCACTGGCTGAAATCTACAATGAAAGATGGATAGGTAGGGGAGGACCGGTTCCATGGCCTGAACGTACCGCCCCCCCCGACCGCAATCCTTTAAGTTTTATGTGTGGGGCCACCTAAAACAATTGGTATGCAGCAGACATTAATAATGCAGAGACACTTCATCAACGTGTCATGAGGGACTGCAAAACCCTTCTACACCGTGTGGGAGTTTTTTTAAATAATCCGACGGGTGCAAAGTGCAATATCGGCCAAGCTTGGCCTGCAGGTTAGCCAGGGTTTTTTTCTGTCAATAATGCTCTCTTAGCTGAATGCATACACGCACTAGGATTCAATGCACCGATTTTTACCCAATTACTAGTTTTGAATTTAGATTAGTTACTAAGCAGAGAGTTTACTCTGTACTATTATTTTACCACTTTAAATATCTATTAATCAAAGTAACAAAGATAAAGATACTGTAATATATATATAAAAATAACAATATTTCATCTGAAAACTTCATTCATTTGGAAGGATGGAAAGTAAAACAGTTAAAATCTAATAATCAAAATAACAAAGATAAAGATACTAGTCTGGAAGAGTGATAATATTTCATCTCAGAATATTGGATAATATAAGAAAGGACGGAAAGTAAACCAATTAAAATCTAATATTTTAAAAGGGATACAAAATTTAATAATTGCGATTAAAACGGACACGTTTAAATAACAAAAGTAAAGAATAACGAAAAAAAGGTCTCATTACCGTAAAGTGGTAAAATCGAAAAGTGAAAAGTTATCAAGGAAAAGTCATCTTAAGCGGTTTATCAATCCTCTCCCATCAGAGATCAATCGAGAACGAGAAATGTATACAACGACTAAAAGGAAAAGCCCCAAAGACCTAGGTTATATAATAAATATATAAATTCATAATCGGTAATTATTATAAATAACATATATAAATATCAAAAGCTAATTATACTTAGGATTAACAACCACTCCTGCTTCTTACAGAGAGATGGCTGGCAGGACTTAATATAAAATGTCTCTAAAAACCAAGAGGTGAAAGTGAGTTATTTTCAGTAACGCTAATATGTTTTGGTTGTCATGTTGAGCACATTAATGATTGTTTAATAAATGTTCGGCTATCGCCGAACCGGATGTGTTAACGCGCCTAATCAAATTGTCCAAATTGCACTTCGTTTTATTGGCTGATTAATACTTGCTTCCTGCTTCTGAATCATTCTACCTAAGTAGTCAGTGTCACGCTGACATTTGAAATAATTAATTACCGATTATGAATTAATTGATATGGGGGAGAGGTAAAACATCCTTTTTAGTTCGATCTCAACATTAGTTGGATAGTAAACATACAGAATTAATTAGCGGACAAATAACACACACACACACAGAAATCTGACTAGAAAATCTGATAATTACATCTACGGTAAAGGGAAATAGACAGGACTTTTTTGTTACTCCATTTTTCTTTTTTGTTATTCTTTTGTCTTGTTATCTTATGTCCGCTTAAAATCGCTTTTATAAAACCTAGTAATCAAAACAATAAAGATGTAGATACTTGTCTGGGTAATTCAATATTTCGTCTCAGAACTTCAGAAAACACTGGGAAGAATGGAAAGTAAACTAATTCAAATCTAGTAATCAAAACAACAAATATCAAGATACTAGTCTTGGAAATTCAGAGAATATTCATTTCAAAATTTCATAAAAATTCATTAAATCATAAATAATTTTCATAGTATTTGCTTTTCTATTTGGCAGGTTTCATTGCTGGAATTCTCATCAATCGAATCAATTGTGGACTGGTCCTCATTTTTGGATCTCTTGTTATGGCGGGGTCAATTATAGCAAGCTCTTTTGCCACCGGAGTCGTGTATCTCACTTTGACACTTGGTATATTTATGGGTAAGTTTTTTTTAATGTCTGCATTACCAAAATTCTTCATAGTACACGTTCGAAACTTTTGACATCTAAACAGCTAAGGTCATGCTGTAAAAACGAGGTTAAAGTTACCATCTGTTTAATGAGGGTCATAAAATTAGTTCTTGCAATCGATTGTTCACAATTTTTTTATCCTCCTATTTTTTTTCTTTTCTGATCGACAAAGCTAAGCTTAGTAAATATATACGGGTGTGTGCTGAAATGTTCTGGATCCTACTGACCTGCTAACATCCGTATTTTAAGTAGAATACTGATTACGAGAAGTGGGTCGGGTCGAGAACTTTTCAACACTCATCGTACTTGTTATATATTGTGGTTCTAAGAAGTGTTCAAGAACATGAAATCTTTGTGCTGCTGAGATTGTCCCGGCAATATTTCGACCGATCCGTTCTACAACCTTCGTCACATTTATAATACACAAGTAAATAAATTTGTTTCTGTCTTCTTTTTTTTCCTTTTCTTTTTTTTTTTTACTTAGAACCTTCATAGTGTGGCTGATATCGCAATAGTATCATCGCTTGAATTAATGATTTACACTATTTAGATTGTTCGGACTATTTTCTTACATCTTTATTGTCATATTCGGTCGTTGTACGCTCCGGCCTTACAGTTGGAATTTCGAACAGAACCCTTATTTCGTCAACCGGGGTAGATTATTCTAGTTCCACGTGTCATGCCTTTTCTGGATATTTGTCTTCAGTTATCTCCCTTTAGTAACTCAAGTCTCCAAGTTTTTATTCACCTCTGCTGTGGCCAGGTATTGAACTCACAACTCTTTGGGTCAAGTCACTCGATTACTTGAACCAACATTTTTATCCATTAATAAGACATTAATTAATGAATTCAACTATCTAAATCAATCATGGTATAGTAGTACATGCCAGTGTCTTAAAAGATCGTTGACTATTATTCTACGCAAGGTGACACGCTCTGTGTTTATAAATCAAGACCATTTTAATAAATACACATTTTTAATGACTGTATTTAAAAATAGAGTATTTAATGAATCAGCTGTTGTGTTGTTACATTTGATAATGATATATCAAAAAGCCATGTTTAATTCACTGTCAAAGAAAGAGTCAAATTTTTGACATTAATTCTACCTTGGCCTTAACTATCAGTAAATAAAAATATTCAAGATAGGCAGATAGATTCTGCAGAAACAAGTTGGATTTTAAAAAATTTTTCATTTAATTTTAATATTCCACTACTTTTACGCGAGCCTTTTCAAAACACAAACGAAAATTCTAAAGTTATTACAATGACAACCCTGCTACAAAAAAAAAAGAGCTATGGCCAATCTTTAAATATTTTAATAATTAATAGGAAATTTCGAAATATATTCGTGAGCAAATCAACAATACTTGCACGTAGGAATATGTTAAAATGTAAATATTGTGGTTAAACATAGAAAAACAAAACTGAATGAAAGAAATCTTTGTTTGGAAAAGTAAAGCGCGTATAACTAAAGAAAAAAGTGAATGCTTATAACATCTTATATAAGCCGACTTCATGTATTGTGCACCCCCCTTAAACTTTTTGCATGAATTATAACTCCCCCAGAAAAAAATACCTGTGTATATTCCAACTGGTCACCGATAATTCATGGTTTTTAACCTGTTCAAGAAATTACTTGTGTATATTGCGACAGTCTATTTTCTGCTTAAAAATGATAATAAAAAACTCGCACTATATATGGTCAGGGGGCACAGTGGAGTAATGAATAGCGGCTTGGATTGAGGAGAGCCGAGTTCGAATTTCAATCGAATCCATTACATTCACTTACATGCTAATACCCTTGGGAAAGGTATGAATCCTCTTCTTCTCTCCCCACCCCCTAGCTATGGGTAAATAAACGGGGTTCCATAGCCTTGGATGGCAACTCGTCTACCGCAGAAAGAAATGGCAACCTACTGCGAGAAAAAAATCTGCCTCGTCAGTCATGTATCGAAAGATACATGATCGCCTGAGCGTGCATCACGCATGACATATAACTGACTGACTATATACGGTAATTAAAAATAGTATTATAATTAAGGATATTTTTTATAAATAAAAATAACATTATAATAAATATTTATAAGGTAAAATGTATAAGGTAAAAATGTCAAATGCCTTTTTATTACATAAATAATCGATAAATAATAGATTATTGTTTAGGCCAGTTTGGTAATGAGATCGTTGCGTATTTGTCAGTTGTCGGTGTTTGAGTCTGCATAAAAGCTGAGTTTTAAGGCAAACAGTTCCCATTAGTAAAATTAATTTCTTTACTTTTAATTGTGTTTTGTGGTGAACTTCATATTCTTTAAATATTAATAAATAGCTGTCTGTTATTTCATGTGTTTTTAATGAAAAATTTTTATCTTTTTTTCAGGATTTGGTGGAAGTTTCATCTTTGTTGCCTCCTACATTGGAACTGGGCTTTATTTTGGCGAAAGGGGCCAATATGCAATTGCTACTGTTTCACTCGGAGTACCGCTTGGATTTCTGGTTTATCCTCTTCTTATGACGTCGCTTATTCAACTGTTCATGTGGCGTGGGGCGCTGCTCATTTTAGGAGGGCTTGCACTCAATGGGATCCCCTTCGGTGCTATCATCTGGTTAGCAAGTTCGGCCAAGAAAGCTAAGATCGAACGTGGCATCATTTCGAATCTCGGTAGTCAGAAAGCCAGCATGAAGACCAGTGTCACGAGCATTGGTCGGATTCATTCGACCGCATTCAGCAGCACAGTAGATCTGGATGAAGGTGATAGCACGTTACGTCTGTGTCGGGAGATTCTGCACAATAAGAACTTTGTCTTGATACTCTGTTGCCTTAGTCTTCTTATGAGCTCAGTGACCATGATCTTCAACACACTGTCCGATTTTTGCATTGAACTCGGCTTGACCAAAATGGACAGCGCTTTTCTACTGACCCTGTTTAATATCCCGTCTCTTTGTGGACGATTTATAACCAGCTTACTTTTGCGGTTCACGAAAATCCCTTCTCCGTATATCTTTGTTGTGACTCTCTCACTTTTTGGGGCCATACTGGCAACTTTGCCGCTGGCCACCAATTTTGTTACCTCAACAGTGATCATTTTGTTCTCTGGCCTTATGCAAGGCCCATGTACCGGAATCTACACGTGTGTCATAATCAAACTTGTTGGTCTTAATCGATCAGCCTTGGCTCAGGGAATTTCCGATACGACATACGGAATAATCACCATTGTCGTGGGTTATTTAGGTGGTAAGGAACCTTTTGAAACAGTCATTTGTCTAAGCGGATTGATTTGTTTTTCATATCATCCAAAGTCACCTCATTACCGAACGATCAGTCTTGACTGATGTTGTAACACACAGCCACACACACAAATAACCTTTTCTCGTATGAAACACATTCCACATTCAGATTACTATACTCATCTTTGTTGTTTCGATTCTTACACGTGAGCTGGTGCGCTTTCCAACCTTCTTAATGTCGTCCGCAGTTTCGAGAATAACCTTTGTCTCAATTCCATCAGTTATTAGAAGAATTATCAGTATCTTTATTGTTTTAATCATTACGTGTCTGCCGGTGAATTCTCCGATATCGTTATGGCCGTCTGAAGTTTTTAAACTAAGCTTTACCATAAATCAGTAAATTCAAACGATTATATCACTCACTGTAAAGAGCATTAATTAAATTTCTGAAGATATTAGTACAAATTAATTGCCTATTAATTTTTGTGAATGAATATGTTATCTCCCTTTGATAAATCTGACGAAAAACTTAAATGATATGAAAATTTCTTATTTTTGCTTTTCATGCATCCTCCATGCATTTAATAGGAAAAGAAAAGGTTTTATGATGAATTTAGTTAAAATTATATTTTCTCTATTTTTATATTTTTCCTATTTTGTTTAGAAATTCAAGTACAGACAAAGACAATGATGGTTGTCTTCTTAAATCCCTTTTTTTTTAGTTAATCCCCAAATAAATCAAAATAGAGTTTGCTTGAGTCAAAGAAAAGTCCATTCCAAGTATAGAGCCTGTCTCTCTTCAAGATATTACCAACAGGTGGTGTTCAACAAAAAAAAAAAAAAAATTACATAAGCTGGTTGCAAGAAAAAAAAAATTTATATTTTAGAAAACTACATTTAACACTTTTGATTATATCTCTTTTTCCCCAGACACATTTTAGGCAATTGGCTGCTTAGAAACATTTATGTTAGTCATAAACATTGAGTACCTGTTCATGTAAAAAGAATTAAGAACCCAAGTTGCTCTAACTTAGCAAAAATGGTTACTTTTTTTAATCATATCAACCCATGCAAGGCAATAAAGCCACTAAGACAAGGGGTTACAAAGTGTGAAAGAATAGAAAAAGAGAAACATTATTAAGGGGTGAGAATAATAGAAGAGTTATCAAGAAGACAGAAGATAATGATTGACATTGCATTCAAATTTTTGAAGATCAGAGTTGGCTGGAAAGCATGGAGCTGAAAGAGAGTTCCACAAGTGAGAAGTGAGAAAAGAAACTGTTAGCAAAGAACTTATGGTTACGTCTAGCCAATTCAACTATAAATTGATGAGACCTTGCCACCAATCTAGTACTGTGCTTAAATTCAGCAAAGAGTTCAGCTTAACAATTACCGTGAAAGTATTTATAGAAAAGGCACAGGGAGGCTACATTACAGTGGTGGGAAAGTGACTGAAGCCAAGATGCTAGGCAGGACCAATAATATTACTGATTCTTCTTTTGATTTTATCAAGAATCTCTAAATAGAGCACCGGACCATATGTGGCAGCAATATTCAAGGCAAAGAGGAATGGTAGACTTATAAATATATAAGACAGATTGAGGAGAGAAAAATTGTCTAGGACAACACAGTGATCAACTTTCTTAGCAGCAGACCTAGAGTTAACACTTTTGATTTTATCTCTTTTTCCCAGACACTTCAATTCATTGTACCTCTTCAGAAAGTATCTGGCTCCCCCTGTTATACTCTCTTTACAAGAGCCAGCTCAAACCAAGAATGAATTATTGCAGCCATATCTGAACTGGAGCTACCCAGTCCTGACTTTCATGTCTTGATGAAGTTCAAAAGCATCTACGCGGCCTTGTGGATGATGAATTACTTTCCATCCTACAACCCATTTCCCACAGTCGAAACGTCACAAGTCTCTCACAGCTCTATCGCTATTTCCATGGCATGTGTTCTGATGAGCTACATTCCTTGATCCCACTAAGCCCTAACCATTACAACTGGGAGCCATCATGCCGCGTACACAAGTGTGAATCATCCTCATTTCCTTCGTATTCCATTAGTAAGGAATAAGTTCTATTCATAAAGCTTCTTCCCAAGAACTGGTTCTTGGTGGAAATGACTCCCGACAAGATGCTTTCCCAATCACAGCAATCTTGACCTCTTCAAGTCTAGGGTTGACCATTATCTTCCCTGTATAGCCCCATTAACTTCCCTCTTTGCCTTTTTTACGCTCATGCAACATGACATTAACCCTCTACCTTGAGTGACTCTTAGGCTTTGTATTGGGTGAACATTAATACTAAAAATACATTAGTCAATCGGCTGTTTAAAAGGGGTAAAAATTTATCTGTTCGTCATAAACAGCGAGTTGTTTTACATGTAAAGAGAATTAAGCATCCAATTTGAAATTAAGTTCAACTTAAATTTACGAGGTAGAACCTGACGCCAGCGACAAAGTTTGCTGGGGATTGAACAATGTTTGCTACTAAGCATACACACGCACGTATACACAAGAGTGTATATGGTGAGGGGTGGTCTTAGTGGGGTGGGGTTCCTACACATGAAACATTCGTTGCTTACGTGGGAAGAAAGATAAATTCCATACCTTTCAGTTATTTTTTTTTTCTTTTTCTTAGTTGGCTTGATGCGCAAGCGGCGATGATTCATCGTTTTACTTGGTTTGAAGTCAGTTAATGTTTAATCTTTTTAAAGTCAACCCCCGCTCCTGAAAAAACAAAAAAGAAACAAACATCATAAAATGTAACCCCTTTTTAAATTCAGAGAAGCGCGCAATTCGCTACATGAATTTAAGTGTTCCGTCCTTTCGTCAGGGATTCACGCTCGGGCGATCATGCCGAGAACAATAAAAGAACAGGATTTAAGAAGACAGAAAATAACAATTGTCATTGCATTTAGATTTTTGATGATCAAAGTCGACTGAGAAGCAAGAAGTCGAAATAGAGTTCCACAAGCGAGAAGTGCGAAAAAAGAAACTGTTAGCAAAGAACTTACGGTTACATGTGTGTGTGTGTGTGTGTGTGTGTGTGCGTGCGTGTGTGTGTGTGTGTGTGATAATATCGATATAAGTATATCTGTAAAGACAATATAAATAATATGAGTTTTGTTCTAATTTGTCAGGTTTATTGCCAACTTTTCACTCGCCTAAATTATTTCCTAAGCCCAAGTCTGGGCCATGGCTACTAGCGTGAGGCGCTCTGAGAATTGAACTCCCTATAGAAATAGCAGCCTGTGTTTCAGTTTTGCTGACTATTCCACTTCGGCGCATGCCCTTTGTATTAGTCTGGCATAGAATCAAAATAGTGTCTACTTACGGAGAATCGAATGTACTGCACTACTCTAATAGCAATTGTTTGGGATAGGAGCATGCTAAGTATCGATGCAAATAGAGGCGCAAATAATTACACATTGTAAGAGTTCTTTTTTTTTAAAAATGGTATCGTATTTCCCGGTGTCAAAATAAGTCTCGAAAATCAGGTGCAGGAAAACTCAATATCGCCAACTCAACGCCATCGACTGTGCGCCGGCACAACTCGGGATTGAGGAAACTCAGGACCGACACAACTCAGCACCAGAAAAACATAAATATATCAGGAATTGCGCTATTTTCCTGCACAGGGCAAATGAGAAAATGATTAAAAAATGTGATTATGCGGAAAATGCATTCTTTTTTCTTGAAATGCCATGTCCTTTCAGTTAGTAGACATTCATAGCTCTCCACGACTACCTTTTCTTTTAATATCTGTAGACTATGAAATGTCATTGGAAAGACAGAATAGTGGATTCCTTTTTGTCTTTTGCATGTTTTGAATTCATATTTCTCTTACTTCTAGACTGGTTTCCCTACTAACGCAAAAGAACCAAATCTACCATCGGGAAAGATAGTGGAGTGTTTTCCTGTTGTCTTTTCTATGGTTCTGTATTCAGGGTTGTTATTATCTTCGACTGGCTTCCCTATCAAAACAAACGAGGCTGCTACCCTATTTAGATCTTCTTGAAAAACATAACAAAATGGTTTTTGTTTGTTTTTTTTTTCTCTTGCATTCTGTGTGGTTTTGGAATCAGGATTGCATTTCCTCTATACCTTCCCCGTCCAAGACAAGAAAACCCTGTCCGTCGTGCTATTTAAACTACAGCTCGGAGAAGAAGAAATCGAGTCAGGCCTATCTCAATGACATTAGAACGAATTCAAACAGAATTGAACGCAGCTCGTCGATTCCGTTCTCTGTGTTATAAACAGTTTGGCCACAACAAGATTTAAAACACATTATTATTATTTTAAAAAATTACTGATATCGAATTAAATGTAACAAGATAAAAAATGCAATGATTTGGGGATGGGGATGAAATTATTGTGAAGATTTTAGCTGAAATATCAAAACTTCTTCATTGACCGATATAAAAAATTTCAGAGCACCATATGGTATCTTAATGACTGTTTTCTGAACAATAAAAGTGACTTGGTATTCGCCATCAATTCTACAAGTAATATGCGACAAATTGTAGTCATTGAATACTTAATACTATAACATCCTTGATAGGCATAACAATACAATCAATTGAATACGTAATAAAATAGCATCTCTGATAGACATAACAATACCATTAAGTGAACACGTAATGCCATAGCAGCCTTTTAGGCATAACAATACCATCAATTGAATACGTAATACCATAGTATCCTTTTAGGCATAACAATACCATTAATTGAATACGTAATACCTTAGCATCATTGATAGTCATAACAATACCATTAATTGAATACGTAATACCATAGTATCCTTTTAGGCATAACAATACCATTAATTGAATACGTAATACCATAGCATTCTTGATAGGCATAACAATACCATCAATTGAATACGTAATACCATAGCATCCTTTTAGGCATAACAATACCATTAATTGAATACGTAATACCATAGCATTCTTGATAGGCATAACAATACCATCAATTGAATACGTAATACCATAGCATCCTTTTAGGCATAACAATACCATTAATTGAATACGTAATAACATAGCATCCTTGTAGAGGAAGAGGTGTGTTTGTTCGATCTGAGCATAAACTACTTCAGATGGCATTTGAATAAGGAATCACCGATTCTGTTTTCTGACTCTAGTGTACACGATTTCACTGAAATATATATTCAAGCTAGTAGTACGCGAAAAATAATTTTATATATTTATTTGTGTCGGTAATTAAGACTTTTATTCATTTTTCAAAAAAATATACTTACAAGAAAGTAAAAAAAAAAAGCCTTCAGAAATCTGTTCTGAAGCTCTTCACCCGAACACGAAAGAAATTTTTATTTTGTTTTCCATTAATTTTTTATTTCTAATTTTGATTTATTTTATTTTTAATTTTTTTATTTCATTTCTTTCCTTTATTTCATTTTATTCCATTTATTTTTTTTTTTGTTTCATTTATTTTTTGTTTTATTTTATTTTTATTTTATTTTTTTTTTTAGGTCATTGGATTGACCACTGTTCCTAAAGTGAAGATGAAGTTGACACCATTTTGATCGGCGGTTTGACCACCTTCTTTATATGATCGTCTTGAAACCGCTAACATGTTAAACAAAAATCACTGAATTTTACACAAACATGCACACTGCAACAGATGCATATACACATGAATATGTGCATGCATACTGACATTTGTATATATATATATATATATATATATAAGTGCGTGTGTAATGATAGTCTCAAAAAGTGTAAAAATTTTAAATACACAGTCATCAATCTCTGTCAAAATTCAAGATCCCATGAGATTATATGCTGATTATTATTATTATTATTGTTATTATTATTATTATTATTATTATTATTATTTCAACTCGGCTTGTTGATACTACTGACAGCGCCGATAATTGTTACTCTCTCCTGTTAATAAAAAAATATACTGCTAATATTTTATTATTATTTGAACATTTTCTAGAGTGAGATAAATATAAATTTTTTTTTTTTTTATCATTTCACTTCTAGCAACGCACAATGGCACATGAGGTTACTGAGTGTGAAAGAATGTAAGAAAAAGCGAAACAGTATTAAGAATCGAGAACCATAAAAGAACAGAATTTAAGAAAACAGAAGATAACGATTGACATTGCATTTAATTTTTTTGAAGATCAAAGTTGGCTGGAAAGCAAGAAACCGGAAGAGACTTCAACCAAGGAGAAGTCCGAGAAAAAGAAACTCTTAGCATAGAACTTGCGGTTACAATTGTGAAATGATGAAATCTGTCCCAAACTGAGCAGTAAATTTATTCTCAGTCGATATCCAGGACTTCCCTGAAAGAACAGCAAAAATGAAGTTCTTCGTATTTGTTTATATTAAACAATTGATATTAGATTGAAGGTTATTTGGAACCTTTGGATATTTGGGATAAATGGGAAACAAACAGTAGCATAATTTATTATTATAATTAACAATTTATTTTGAAGCTATCAATTACCAGAGAAGATACTCTGCCTATTAAATCACAACAAGAACCTCAGACAGGCATTACTTTTCGAAGGGTTCTTGCTTATTAGACGATAACTTGCAGATCTTTATAACTGCTCTTGCTAAAAAGTAAATTAAAACTACTCGTTTTAACAAAAAGATTAATTTATTAAAGGAGTCAACCGAATAATCCTTTCCTTAGCTGCATGCGCTACGGTAAACTCTTTAACTTATTAAGAGTCTATAAAAAACTCCTTTATTCCATCTCCCTTTTATAATTAAATTCCTGGGTCCTTGAATGATAAAACAGTGAGAATTGACTGTATATTTCCAATTTTTATTCAAAGACAAATTACCGTAAAATGTTTTTTGTATAAAAGGCGTCTAATAATAAAACCGACTTATTTTTGCAAGCAATACCAAATCAACATTGAGCTCCTCATGCTGTGATAATGGTTAACTGGCTAGTCAGATTGAATATTACTATTGAGTCGTGAGTTAAATCCTCATTGAATGCTTCATAATTATGGCCTTGTGCCAAATTAAGTTATGCTTAAAACTGAATGAATGTACTATCGATATTTTTAAGTGCATTCTTTCTGGGCTCTTTAAAGAAATTCAACCTTGTCTTCAGCGAGAAAAATTCAAGATAACGTCTTTGCTGATTGGCTGCTCTTTTTAAGGCCAAAAATAACCAACTTCAAAAATAGTCGGTTTTATTATGAAACTTTTTTTCACTATAAGGACATATTCAAACACACACACACACATACGCGCACACACAAATATCATACAAACATATAGCATATGGTGTATTTATATATCAAACTTGGATTAGTCTGGCACAGTCTCGCAAGAGAGGAGCACCTATAAGCATCGAACTTTATACATTCGTGAAATAATCTGCTGGTTGTGTTTGTTAACTACAGCGCTACAGTAGGCGCCTTTTATTTTGTGAATGTCGCTAGTTCGATCCTATATGAGTGCTTACATATCAATGCCTTGCACCATACTAAGGAATAGCAAATGTTTAAGATCAGCTGCTGTAAAGGCCATGTGCCAGACTAAACTAAGCTTAATAAATATCTACAAAAAGATTGTTTTAGGGCAAAGATTAGGAAGGTATTCTTGATATGTAGTGAAGTCAGTCCTCATTGGGGTCTTGCATTAAACGGCGATGCTCTTTTGTCATTAAGAAGTTATTATTATTGTTTTATTATAATTATTATTATTATTATTCATGCATTTTGAATGTTTACACTCGGTGTCTTGCATTTATTGCTGAAGATTAAATAATAAGAAGCATCTTTGATATTCTGCTTATCTCAGCACTGTTGTATTCTGGATGTTTTCCATTCCTCCTCAAATGTCCAGTTCTTCTTCATTATTGCTAGGCTGTTCTATTTAAGAGTGTTCCAACGGTACCAACCACTTTCATGTTACATAATTTTCTTCAATTCTCTTGGGTTATTTGTCCAGGTTTTTAACTTGTTTTTAATTTTATTCTGTCGTCTGCTGCTTGAAGCCAACCATCTTTTTTGTTTCTGTTTTTAACGATAACTAAATCTAGTCTCCTGGTCTGAATTGGGTGATTTATTTAAATCTCAAGGCCAAGAATTTTTATGTATTATGACAGACTCTGGTTTGTGCATATACAGTCGTTTACGCAGTTCCCAATGGATCATCCTTCCTACCCAATCATGTTTACTTTTATTTATTTTTTATTTATTTTTCGTACTCTTTTTTTTTCTCTTAGCTAACTTAGTGTATAAGTAATTCAAGAAAGTTTGCACTTAGGAAAACGTTATACGATCATCATGAAAAGGTTGGAATTTGCTGATTGAAATGTGTGATATATAATCTGTATTTATTTATTTATTTTTGCAAAATGTCTGTAATCATCATTCCACTCATTAAAAGAAAACCGTTTTCTTTCTATTTTGCTTTTATTTTTGAATTTCTGATAGGTAGCCTTAATGAATTGACCAAATCTTACAAAAGCGGATTCCTAATCTTCGGTACGTTAACCATGATGAGTGGAATCACCTTCGGGTTGAGTCTATTTATGGACCGGTGCAAAATAAGGAATGGCCAGAAAATACGTCAGAATGGTTGCAAGGGCAAATGTCCAGCCACAGCAGTGTAAGAAAATGAAGAAGAAGAAGAAAGAAGAAGGGAAAAATAAAAGTGAACGACGACGAAGAAGAAACAGTCCCGAAAAAAACACTATGTAATTATTTTTATCTTATTACCTCCCTTGTTAGATCCCCCTTTCTCTTTAAGCGCCATGTTCCTTCAGGACTTAGACGATCATTACTCTTGAACGGCTTTTTTTTCTTTTCATATCTTTAAACTGAACATTGCCATGGAAAAGACAGCGGGTTTTTTTTCTGTTGATTTCTCTACGGTTGTATTTTTCCTAGACTGGTCTCCAACAAAGGCTAGATTTATCAGTTTGTACGGCTATTTACTGCATATAAGTATGGAATAGATGTGTTCGTGCCTTTCTTAAAAGCATTAGTATGTACTGAACACAAATTGTTTCAGTTGGAATTTGAAGACGTGTGCCGAAAGCGAGCAATAAACAAATGGATGGTTATGACTTTAAGTGGACGGTATACGATGCTTCTTGTGTGCAAATGACTTTTTAAGAAAAGGTTGGCTAAATATCTATAAATATGCAATGTATCCATAAAGTAGGTTTATATGACGTTGTTATGCTGTTAAAATCAACGAAAGTTCTTTGTTGGGGATTTTTTCGGATATTTCAGAACATTTTCTTAGTCTCCGGTATATATATAAATATAGATTGTCTGATTTCTGAGTACTTTCGCTTTCAGAAGCTATTATAAAAAAACAAAACAATGTTAACACAAACTGTCATGTGAAGACGCAAAGAACCGATATTTGAAAATTATGAAAACCGACAGAACACGAAAAAAAATCTATGCAAATGGCTTATGAAATCCGAAAGTTTAAAAGGTTATCGGGTGTATAGGCGCGTAAATTGAGCAAAATATTTAGATTCACATATGGATGGCTGCTAATAATAGTAAGGAAACTTAACAAAAATATGGCATCATTTTTGATAACATGGATGAACTATCCATTTTTACCCTCAAATTAAACAAGTGTTGAACTTCAAATTAAATAAGTTTAACTTCAAATTTAAAAAGAAAAAAAGCCCAACTTCAAATTAAAAAAGCTCAACTTCAAATTAAAAAAACTCAACTTCAAATTTTAAAAGCTCAACTTCAAATTAAAAAGCTCAACTTCAAATTAAAAAAACAAAAACTGAATTTCAAATGAAACTTTTATTAGTGTGAAAAGATTGTATAAGTTTACAAACAAACGAACAACAATTGCAGATGGATGATTCGAAATTAACTAATTCTCATATTTTCTCCCATTTAGTGATCTTTGCGCGTCTTATTGTTTAGGATAAATTGATTCTCTACGTGATTATAGATTTTTAGGCATAGTAGTGGGATAATTGCAGACATCGCTTCATCGATTGCTTTTTTTTTTCAAGATAATTTGAGTAATACCTGCTGAAGATAAAGCCATCATGGTTTCAAATATTTTGACTATGATGTTTCACAGCAGTCTTCATGATGCAGCAGATATCCTCGAATAGCTTTCGAGATGTGCTGTATGTGACCCCGTGGACAATAGTTCGACCTCTTGAATTCCCTTGTCCAAATCCGCATGAATAAACTCATTGTTGCAGACAGTAGCAAGCCATTTCACAAACAATGTAACAAACCAACCTCATTCTCTTCATATTCCATTGGGTGAGATGCAAGTCACGCTCGAGCAACTTCCACCCACTGACCGATGCTTTGTGGAAACCGACTGCTAAGGTGATGTCTCCCCGATCACTACAATCTTAACCTATTCAATTCTAAGGTCAACTGTTATCTTCTTCATATATCCCCATAAACTGTATCTCCTACTCTGCAATCCTCTACCTCGAGTGGCTCTTGGGCATTGTACACTTCATTATTTCATCCGAAATTTTTCTGAGAAGTTTTCTCAACCATTCGC